TCCCATACCATTTATTAAAACATTCATAACTCCTCAGGGTTTTCTCCTAATTCAACGTTAGTACAACCATTAGAAGGCTGATTTATTGCTCTTTCAAACCTTAACTTTAAAAAAAAAAAAAAATCAGCTTTTCAACTGTTGTAGTTGTTGTAGTGTCTTGAATTGGAAGAAAATCCTGGAGTTATGAATCCTTTAATAAATAGCATGAAAAGAAATTCTCTAATAAAATCAAGTCTAAAAATTTATACTTATTGATTTCAAAACTAATTTGTATCAAGACTTTTGAACAATGCTAGAAATGAATCTGAATTGCTTTTTTATGATAAAAATTTGTTTGGTATACTTTACTGTAAATGTCTTTGGTTACGCAAATCTCTTTGCTAGGTATTTTTTTATAAGCTTAAATATTTTGTAATGAAACAGAACCCACAATATAGCCATCATGATATCCCATCCTCCTGTTATCACAGACTTAGTGTTATTGTTAGCCATTTCTGTTAGTATAGCTATACCTTTTTAAAGATTCTCATTTAAATTCATTAATCATTTTGTGCAGAGCAATCCGTCTAATCTTTTGGCTGGCCAACTGTTTGCAAACAAACAAATAAAAATCTGGTGCACGCAACACACAACTTTTACTTACTGATCTACTTTGAATAGAAATTATTTTCTGGCAATGCTGGGCTATTATAAAATTTTTTGAAGTGCATTTTAAACGGAGCTAAAGCTTGAAGCTTACAGATAACAAGTCATTAAGACCATTATAATTACAAAATGTCTACTTAATATATCGACGACAGGCAATAAAAATCTAGTCACTTCATCTGCTTTTATAAACCACACAACTTTCTTTCTTTTATAAACCACAGAATGACTAACTCTAATTTCAACATTTTTGAATGATGTCATTTTAGTGACTGATGTCATTTTACTGTCACATCCGGCCCATATACAAACCTTAAATACTTAATATCAGTTTCATACTAATTTTTCGTTTATATATTTATATATTTTTCGCCACTCTCCGTTACCTTCTACAACTTTCTTTATTAGATATTGTTTTTTTCTTTCTTCGCTTTCCAACGATATATTATAGGTATAAATTCTGACTAGTTTTCCTATATATACCTAAGATAACTAAGATCATATATATAACTAAGAGAAGCATATACCTATCTTAAATACGTAATATCAGTTTCATAGGACTTTTCGGTTTTGAGCTAGACTTTTAACACAGACACACAGATCATGTTGCGACACTTGGTTATTTGGACTCAGGGGACCTCAAAACATGTATTTCTGTTGAAAACTATGATTCGAAAATTTTCACGATCGCAATACTTACCCTTACTATATATTACATATATACGTAAGTGAAAGTAAAAACAAGCATATACCCCATTGTGTAACCTTTGAAGCTAAAATTTTGTCGAAAACAGTGAAGCCAAGAAAAAAAATTTTGCTTTTTATACAACATTATCCATATAATCATATTATTTAAAAAAATTACACAAAATTTGGGATGAAACGGAGTATGCTGTTACTATTTGGCCTCATCTAATGGTAGCCCTGATGAGATAATGATCATTGAGCCTTTCAGTTTCAATTTTTACTAATAATCTAAATTTTCTGACAATAGATATAGGTAACTTCATATAATTTTCACTTAACTTTAATTTTAATTTTTACTTCTTTCAAATAAATAAATAATGTATGCTTATATCAGATTTTATTGTTCTTGTTATGCGCCTTAGTTGTTTAAAAGTCCAGGTTCAACTTCTTCATTTTCTTCCTCGAATTGAATTGACTGAAGCAACAGTACATGAAATCTCTGAATAGTTTTGTCAATCTTGGTAAAGTTCAAGCTAGATTTTCAGTAGGTACATGCACTATTGCATTTTTTTTTTTTTTTTTTTTTTTTTGCAGCTGCATGTATCAGTAGCATCAAGAGCTATGGTGCTGGGACATCTGTCATTTTAATTGGAATATGAGACCTTAGCCATCAGTTTTGTATCCAGGTTGTTATCTGCATTGTACTTAGAGGAATGAGGTAAATTCACATTGTTCAGCTGTGTTGGTGGCAATCTGGGTAGATTTAGGCTGATCATTGTTTTATTCTGCCATCTTAATTAACAAATGTTATCTCAGATTATTGATCTCCTATAGTGTGTTTGTTCTAATGGTGCCATGAATTTTTTTTGTTTACTTCATTGGTGATTTCTGATCAAGGTAATGCAAAGTGGAAGGTATATATATGAAACTAGCTAAATGGTATTTGCATTGAATTGACATAAACTCAGAATCTCAGTGTATCCTGGATCACTCTCTTAAATACTTAACACTTATTTTAAATATAATTATAAGTGGTTTATATTTAACTTAATCGTTTTTTGACATAATTAATTCAGCACAATCCAGATCATTTATAATGCCAAGTGACCAAAAGTTTATTACCAATTACCAAGATTTCAAAAGAGTGGGATTATGAATTAGTGATTGTTAAAAAAAAACTGGTGCGGTACATGCAACAGACAACTTTCACTTACACTGAAGTGATATCAATTACAACTTACAGTAGTTATAGATATTTATATATAGGGAAGTCAAGGTGAAAACGACCGTATAACTTTGTTTAAAACAATTAATTACCATGTTTTTCTCTCCCATCGAACTGTTAAATTTATATGTTTGCATCACTTTCCATTTTATTTTATGGCTGTGTATAGTTTCAAATAATACTAATGATTGTGGGAAATAATAGATCTTCTGAAAAAATTCTGAGTTTTATCTGCAAAATTTAACAAAAAAATCATCGAAAAAATAACTTATTGTTAGTAAATACTGTATATTATTTGTAGATTCCCAACATTTCTTAACACCGCTTAATTTTTACACTGATTTAATGAATTTAATAAAAATCATATGAGGCGTTTTCGATTGAATTCTAAAAAATGTGTAACATTGGTGCTATAAAGTGGCTCTTCCGGTTAGTCAATTTCGACGAAAATGTTGCTGTAACATCCCAGGCATGTACAAACCTCAAATACGCAATTTGAGTTGACACTTCATTTTTGAGTTAGACTGTTCACATACACACACCATTTTGTGGGATTTGGTTATTTGGACTCAGGGGACCTCAAAAAATGTATTTACTCTGAAAACTCAGATTTGAAATTTTCATGTATTTTTTTTTTCAATCAGAAAAAAATTTTCATGATCACAATACTTTTCCTTTTTAAATATTCCATATATAAATAAGTGGAAGTTAAAACAAAATAAAAATAACTATTTCCAGCCTTTAACCTACTCTTGATTTCCTCTTCAATTTGTTTTGGTTATCGTTGACCCTAAATAATTAAATATCTCCACATGTTCAAATGTATTCCCTTCTATATCTGTTTTGGGCTCCCGAAATATTCAAATGAATGAGCAGTTTGTAGCCTTTCATGCTCAATTGAATTGGGGGAACTCTAACAAAGAAAAGGTAAAATGGTAAGAGATGCGAAGAAATTGGCGAGAGTCTAGAGCCAGATTCATAAGTTGAGATTGGCCAATTCATTAAGTTTTCTTCTATTATTGGTTTCCCCCTTTTCCCGTATATACTTTTAAGAATGTAGTTTAATTTCTATTTTAACATTCGTGTTGAATTTGTATTTCATAAAGTCCTCTACTTTCAAAAAAGGGGTTTGTGCCTGCCCATTAAGTAAGCACATGATGTATAATGCATCAAACATTCATTAAAATATAATCTAATTAAAGCATCTCAATAGGTAACGTAAATGCTTAGAGTTCTATGATCCATCTTCTGGTTCGAGAAACACATGCAATCTAAATTTGTCAATTTACTCTGTAGTGAATAACCCAATATACAATTTAAGTAAAAGTAATATAAAGTTAATAATAGTTGTGTAATTTGTGTCAAGAAGGCTGTTTAAGTGAGGGAAGGGGGGACCAGGGTAAGTAACTGGCTGCGCAAAGGGAAAATAAAAGTGCATTCAGGAGGAAGTCCCCATTGCTGTGAGTGGTATTTCTTGGGTACACAGTTTTTTTAAACTTATTCTTAAACCCTAATACTTGGTGTACCCTAGTCAAATAGTTCATCTGATTACTTTTTTCTTCTTAGTGAAAAAAAAAAAAAATCCATCAATTAGAAATCAATTGTTAGGTATACGATGTTAGGAATTCCTAGATGTTAGGAATACGATTGAAGCTTTAGAATCTTCTAATGAGAACTGTGATGATATAGAAAAGTTATGGGCAGGGATCAGGGATAATATTATAGAGGTCGGTAATTTGTGTCTTGCGGAAAAGGAAAATAAAAAGAACAAGCTGTGGTTCAATGAAGATTGGTTAAATGTGTGCAAAAGAAAAAATAAAAACCGCTAAATTAACAGCTCAAAATAATCCAACAGCTAAAAAAAAAAAAAAAAAAAAAAATAGAATTGAAAATAATGTAAGAGCCATTTCCAAAGGTATAAACAAATCATGTAAATGTTTCGGATCTCTAATGAATGGAATTAGGAATGAAAAGAACAATATCCTGACTGTTCCCGTAGACATCTTAATCAAGTTTAAGGAACACTTAGACTATGTTTTAATTATGGGAAATAATGATCTTCGTCTTTCCTCTTAGTACCAGACTGCTAAGCCTTTAATAGTAGAACCGAGTAAAGAGGAAGTTGACCTTGCTATCTTCAACTTATTCTATTCTATGTTCAATGGCTTCATTAGTGTCAGTGCAATTGTTCCCTCAATCATGACCAGTGGCTGACTGTGGTGACTGAATGATGGTGGCATCACCTCCTTATGCCAACTATTTATCACATTCAAGTTTATAAATAATATATGTGTTTGGTCTAACTAATTTAACATATTTTTTGTAATTCAGATGTTAAAAAGTGTGTAGTATAACTATAAGGTTGATATCTATTTATGGAATTACCTTTTAATGACATGCTTTGACCATAAGCAAATGACAATACTAAAAATGTAATTTTCAGGGACGTAATGCACCATATTTTCCTTTTTTGCTGCGTCACCAAAGTGCTCCTAATGCAGAACAGCTCAGGGAAGATGGTTCAGCCCTTGTGTGCACATTTTGCTACCATACTGCACTTGAACAGTGGAGGAGATCAGGTAATATATTCCATTTCTCTCACACATATTTTTGAAGTGAAAACTTCTTTAGGCATGCTTTGCACTTTTGTTGTGGTTAGTGAATGAAACTGCTCAGTTTATCAGTTCATTCAGAGTGTCACGCTCGGATGTGTAATGCTCATTCGGGTAAAGTCGGCTCGAGTCGACTAATTGAAGTGTTTTTGCATATGGATTAAAATATCTCAGAAACTAAAAATCCGATCTGCCTTCTGTAGGCAAGGGAAATGTTGAGCATTTCATCCTTTTTGTAATAAGCTATTATTCAAAAGTATATCTTAACGCTATGCCATGTTAGAGAGGCAAAAAGGGAATAAATAGTATCGATAAATAAATGTCGACAAGTTTTGTTGAAAATATCGATTAAAATATTTCAGAAACTAAGAATCAGACTTACATAATGTAAGCAAGGGAAATTTTCAGCATTTCATTCTCTTTGTAATGAGATATAAATCAAAATTGTATTTTGATGTGACGCCAAGTTAGAGTAGGAAAGGTAAAAAGATCATCAAAAAAATCAAATAATAACGACTGTTTTGAATATTTAGATTAAAATATCTCAAAATCTAAATACCATAGAGAATTTAGAAACCAATTTTCGAAAGTCAATAGAGATATTTTTTTTAATTGGCCATAAAATTAAGGAATTAAGTGTTTCTATTCGATTTGATGTAGCACTTGATAAAATATCGACAAATTACTGATCTCCATTACAGACGTTATATTATATATTTGTTTATTTAGAAATATTACATTCTGTCACATCAAGGACATTTATAATAGTGTTCAGAGAGCACACTCACACTCTATTTACAATAATAAAAATAAATAATACAGAAACTTAATAATAATAAATAATAATAATAAAATAAAATAAAATAAATGTATATAAACAAAAAAACTAACCTAATCATACACACTCGGGCACTGGCCATTGCCAAAACTCCAATAGATGCTTATTCACCGAAGGTCTCTCGGCCACTGTCGCTTCAACCTTCGAGGAGGATTGTAAGGATGGGTGGTGCTGGATAGAGATTGTGCAAGGGGATTTGGATGATAGGTAAGGTTCTGGTGAAATTTGGAGAATTTTTCTGGAATAAGGTCTAGGACAAATGGGATATTAAGGTCATGGTGTAGGATTTTGTTAGTTACATAGAACAGAGCATCAACTATTGTTCGAAGGACTTTAGATTGAAAGGATTGAATACGTTTGATGTTAGAAACTTTTGCTGTCCCCCAAAGTCCGTATGTACATATAGGTTTCAGTATTGTCTTGTAGATAAGTAATTTGTTTTCAGTAGAAAGTTTGGATTTTCTGTTTAGTAGTCTGTATAGCTGGCCGTATTGTCGGTTGAGTTTTTGTCTTTTGAGTCTAGTATGTGGGTTCCACGTTAGTCTTCGATCTAAATGAAAGCCAAGATACTGGACTGTGTCTGAGTAAGGAAGCTGGATGGAATTAAAGTGTACTGGTGGACAGGAACTGCTTCGGAATGTAAAGGTAATATGTTGGCATTTAGATTCATTAACTTTAATGCGCCAGTTATTACCCCAGTGCTAAATCAAGGTGAGGTGGCTTTGGAGATTTAAGGATGCTATTTCGGGATCAGAGTTGGATGATAAGATTGCGGTGTCGTCAGCGAATGTTGCAAGAAAAGTATCGGGATGAACAGAGATGTCAGCAGTAAAGAGGATGTAAAGCACGGGACCCAAGACGCTGCCTTGGGGAACACCGGCTTTAACGGAGTAGATATTGGAAAATTCTGTTCCACAGCGAACTCGAAAGGAGCGGTCAGAGAGGTAGGATCAGAGGACTAGGTACAAGGACTGAGGTAAATGGATTTTAAGCTTGAAAAGCAGTCCGGAGTGCCATACCCGGTCAAATGCCTGTGCAATAACAGACGTTATATTAAAAAAAATACAGAATTTTTGTTAGATAATTAACAAATAGATGTTAATCAAAAGTTTTCATCACATATTTTAGTTATCATAAACCTATTGTATCATTTTTACAGCATTTTACAAATGACAATCAGTTACAGCAAAGTTTACTAGAGTAATTTATACACAATTATAGTTGTATATATTGTAAATGTTATTACTTTGTGAATTTATAGAACAAAAAATAGTTTATACAAAACGGTAATTGTATATATATAAATATTTTGAATATAGAACAAAAAAAAATTATATTTCTTATTAATCTCGTCTTGTTGATGTTTTCACTTCTATCATGTGGTCTAAAGTACACAACCTTAGTTTTTTTATGTGTACCTCCCATCAAAGGATCATTTGGTTCTTAAGAGATAATATCGTTCCACTGATGTCGAATGTATCATGTTGATGTATGTGGTGCACCATTGGTAGTCTGACAAAGAAAGAAGAAAAGAATATCTTTTGATTGGTAGGTGTAATGTGCAATGGAAGTTGAGTTATTTATTATTTTAGTTAATGCAGTATATATTTATATACTAATGTTGGCCAAAATATAATTCTGGATTACCTTCATTTTGCTTCACTGTTCATTCCTTTATATGACTGTATATTTGAATTATTTATTTAATTATAAGGGTACCAGGAATTGTTTTTAGTCTCACTAGAGTGCCACAGCATAATAAATTTGAGAACTGCTCGTCTATAATATAGCACACAGGCGAATCTTTTTACTATTATGGCTACTTTAATTTGTTTCAGCATAAGTATATATACTAATTTTAATTTTCATACTACCTCAATTTATCTAAAGAAATATTAATTAAACTATCATGTATGAAAGCCACACATATACTATTGCCCATGATGTAACATATGTACATTTTGTAGCTATCATTAACTCTCAAACAAAGCTTGACTATTCTCAGTGCTGTTGTTGGTTCTCAGTCCGATTTGATTAACCCTTATTTCTTCTTTATTCAATTATCAAATTCTTTTATTGTTTATATTTAACCATTTTTAATAATAGTTACTATTTTAAAAGGTTAATTATATTAAATAAACAAAATTAAAGATAATTTAGATAAAAAAATGTTGGTATTAAGCACTGTCAGATCGCTTCATTGTGGAAGATACCTGCCTGCTGTTAAAGATCACTTAAATTTACATTTATGTAATGTGTTTTATAAAAATGTTTACAGCCGCTTTTATAAAAATGTATAAAATCAATGATATAAACTGCCACTTCTGATTAGTCGATTTGATGAAGAAGTTGCCGTAACATCCCAGGTATAAAACCTACCTTAAACACATGATTTTAGTTTGATTCCAATTTGTTTTTACCTCTACTGTTAGACACATACACACAATTTCAGAAACTTGGTTGTTTGGATTCAATGGTCTTCAAAATGTGAATTTCTGTTGAAAACTCGGATTGAATTTTTTTCATGTTTGCTATACGTTACCTTATGGTATTTTCCAGTAGGAAATGTTAGTAATTTAAGGGGATATAGGGTCAGTTGTACGGTTGAAGTTCTAAATGAAATTCAATTGAGCTTGGTTCAGATTTTAAAAAAAGTAAAAATGTTGGGAATACTTATGTTATTTTTTTCGGGTTTTCGCTTATATCAGGAAAACTGCCCATCACATTGACAAAAACGTTCTATACAAAATTAAATCTAAAAAAATTTACAACATTGATTATATAACTTTTTTTTGCTATCTCTCTTTCCGTTTATCTTATCTTCGCTTTTGTTTCCGAGATATCCTTAGCTGTCACTAATGTAATAAGTTTCCCCTTGGTGACCTGTGTTAGCAATTTTGTTTTTTACATGCCTAAACCCATATACAGGATATCCCGGAAGTAGAGGGAAATATTTAGAGGGGTGATAGCAGACCTTAAGAGCTACAAAAAAGTTTATATAAACAATGGACTGGTTTTCAGCAGGATAGTAAGAAATTAAAGTTTTGTGGTTTTTAAGTGTCAGGTTTTTTGTTGAAAAGGAAGTGATTACTAAAAATCTATTCATTTTAAATAATTAAAAATTATTTCACTGTAAATTAGATCAAATTTAATTTGAATGGAAATAGGGTTTGCTATTGTTAAAGCCATTTGAAGAGGACTTTTGTGTGGCTAAACTCAGCTCAGTTCTGTTTTTAAAAAAATCATTAGTTGTTCGCAATTATTTTTCCCATCATCCAACTATACTACAGATATCCTACTTTTAGAAAAACTTCCTTGTTTAATTTTGTTATAGTTCATATTAATTAAGTTGAAATTTATTTGTGAAAAACTTGAGTTTCACCTTAAGTTACATAAAAAAATTATGTGATATTATGTTGTGTCACTTGAAAGTACCCGAGTTTCAGCAAAAGTGAATACAATCAATTGTTATTTCTTCTTTTTATTACCTGGGATGTATAATAGTAAATATAAATGCATAAACATAAATTTTATATGTAGAAAAAATAATGTTAATAATAATGATTCTTTGATTATTCATCATCTTAAGTGTCAATGGAAATGTCTTGTTTACTACAATTAAAAAAATTGAACCGTATTTATAAGTGATAAAATAAATATTTCTACTTCTATAATTTACGATTAATAAAAAATAAAAAAAAGTGCTGATAACTTTGATTATTTTTATAAAATATAAATATAAGAATTAGAGACGTTTAGCTTGTCACTTATAAATATTGATCAATTCCTATAATATAAATCTTTGTGAAAAACATAACTTCATAACCACTTTACAAGAAAAATATTTAAAGAATAATTATTTTTATTATAATACATCCCATATTTTGGGATGACAATAGTTAAAAGCTTTGCAATAATTTGTTGTAGTCTTTTTTTTGCTGAAAACGTGGGGATTTATTAATTTTATTTGATAGCTTGAGGTGAAACTCAAGCTTTTCCCTTCTAAACTTTGACTTAATTTAAGTCGTCTTTAAGCATATTAAAGAAAGTTTTATTAAAAGTGGGCTCTCTGTGATATAATTGGATGATGATAAAAAAAAAAAAAAAAAAATGGGATATGATTAGTGGTGGAAGCAACTGGAATAGATGTATAGGTGTACCCCCCTGGGAAAATTCCTGGATCTGCCATTGTGGATGGGATACAAAAACATTGAAAAATATGTTATAAGGGAAGTTTAATTTTTAAAACATATTTTTAATATTTGATATTGGTAAGTTATTTAGAAGTTGGGAGTTAAAAATGCCATTTGTCACATTATCCTTTTCCCTCTTCAAACCAATGTTAATAATCCTTATTATTACAGACTTATATAAACTAAGGAACATTCCATTTTAAAAAGAAACAATATAAGCATATTTTAGAATATCTTTATTATTTTGTTAAAAATTAATATATTGAATTTGTGATTTTTTTTTTTTTTTTTTTTAATAAGACATTTCTGACATATTGTTTTTGAATATTGATTTTCTTATTTGGCTTAACAAAACTCTTCAAGGTATTATTACTCATATCATATTTAATTATTGTTCAAGCATGCGTAAATGTGAATTAATTTATGTATTTCATTGAATTTTAAGGTAAATTAAATATAGCTATATTTTTTTTTTTTTTTATTGTAAGCTGTAGAGGAAAAGCAATATTTAAAAATTACATTAATGAATATTTAATAGTTGACCGTTGCCTTATAAAGGAAGGAGATGGTCCGAGGTGGCAATCATAAATAGGCTAAATAGTGGCAAAACTATTTTATTAAAAGCCAACGTTTCGACTCGACTTTGCAGGTCTTCTTCAGGGCTAGAATGGACCAGATCCAAAAAAATAGAGAATTGTGGAAGTTACATAATATTAAAAAAAAGTATATAAACAATGTGTATAAGCTTATTAAAATTATAAACAGTAAGTACATTAAAATATAAGCAGAGTAAGCTAAGTAGCAATATCCTAAACCGAAGTAAATAGATGGTAACAATTGTTGTAGTGTAATATATAATATATGCAAATGTGAATATACTTCTACAGATCTACGGGAGAGATTGTAAAAGGATAAGACATATAGGAATGGGGAGAAAGAAAACAAAAAAATAAATAAGTATATATAATAAAAATAGAGACTTACAGGTGTGTTCAGCTAGAGTTTCACTTAGAACTGGAAAATAAGGTTAAGGGTAGGTATTGGGGAATTTTGCTGTCCTGAATTTGAAGATATGGATGGATAAAAGAGAAAAAAATACTATTTTAATGAAATAATAAATTATAAATATATACATATACATATAAAATAGAATTAAGAAATTATAGATAAGAGTAAAATGTGAATAAAAACAAAAATGGAAGAAGTACGTAGAAGTAAAATATAAATATAGAAATAAGAGACCTTGCATTGAAGAACTACTTAAGAAGTATTGCGAGGGAGAACAAATATGAATAATTATAATTATATTTAGTTGTACTTATGTAAGAAAATTACATTTAATTATTAGATAATATTGAGATATGGTTGAAAAGTAAAATGAATACAAAGTGAAAACGGATAATCATACATTGATGTAGAAAGTAAATATAAAATTTAAATAAAATAAAAGAGAGATCATGCAAAGCGGAAATAATTAGAATATTGAACAATTAAATTGAATAATCAATAAAAATTGAAGGTAGATAAAAATAATACAATGTAATATAAGTTATTTTTCACTTATAAGAATTAAAATGTGTATATGTTAAAGAAATGCAGTTTTTATCTACTTTATGATTAACAGGATTTTGTTCCATGTGAATGTGGATGGATTCGGAAATGAGTCTTTTTTCATGGTAGGTGATTGTGGGGAGTTGAGAGAATGTTTTATGTTGGTAAATGCGGGTTTTGAGATGGTTTATGGTTTCGCCAATATAGGAGCTATTACAATTAGGAGTGGAGCAAGGCATCCGGTAAACTACATTAGATCGGTGTTGTAAAAGTATGGGGTCCTTCAAGTTGGCTTGGTGATCACCAGCCACACTCAGCGTGTCAAAAATATTCTCCTTTCCAATGATTTCCCTCTCAACACTATACTTAAACTTTTAAACTGCTATACAACCAAAAAGAGTACAACCTCCCCTTCTCTCAACTCCTTTTTTTACCTTTATCTTTATTTTCCAGTTCTAAGTGAAACTCCTTGCTGAACACACCTGTAAGTCTATTTTTATTTTATATACTTATTTATTTGTTTTTCTTTTCTTTTCTTTCTCCACATTCCTATATGTCTATTCTTTCATATTATATCCTTTTTCCTTCTTTTTCAATCTCTCCCGTAGATCCGTAGAATTATATTCACATTTGCAAATATTATATGCACACTATAACTATTGTTAACATCTATTTACTTCAGTTTAGGATCTTATTACTTAGCTTACTCTGTTTATATTTTAATGTATTTACTGTTTATAATTTTAATAAGCTTATACACATTGTTTATAATTTTCTTTTTCTTTTTTTTTTTAAATGTTGTGGTACTTCCACAATTTTCTATTTTTTGTATCTTGTCCATTTTAGCCCTGAAGAAGACCTGCAAAGTTGGGTTGAAATGTTGGATTTTAATAAAATAGTTTTGCCACTATTTAGTCTATTTATGACTGCCACCCTGGACTATCTCCTTCCTTTAAAAATTACGTTACATTACCGGATCGAGGGATGCAGGCAGTTCTTGGCCGGAGTGATGGAGAAATTGCATGTTCTCATATCCTCCATCAAGTTCCAAGGTACTCCATCTAGTTCTTGGTCTTCTGTGAGGTCTTATGATATGCATATTATTTTGCAAGATTTTAGACTTCTGCTCTGGACATGCGAAGCAGGGGAAACAAGTATAACTATTTTGAAAGCCTCAAAGGTTGGCCGAATGTTCAGCAGTTTTTGAGATAACTAATGTTTCTCCCTCTCTCCTCTCCCCCCCAAAAATCACTATTTTAATGACATTTTTAGAATGGTTACCACAGTTTTTTCTTTCTTTCTCAGAACCAGGAGTCTGAAGTAAAACATGTTTTGCACTTAAAAACTAGGTTTTTTCCAGGCCTCCTGGTTAGCAGCCAAGCTCAAATATTTTGAGGTCTAGATTGACTTTAAAAATTTTCATACAAAATTTTAAGACACATGTGAGATCCTAAGATAGTTTAAATAGCAACTCATTTCTTTCTTTTTTTTTTTTTTTTAGGCCCCAATATCAGTCCTGAATGCCGAACTTACAACTGGCATGATTATATTTGTTATGTATGTGGAATAACTACTTACAGAAGGAGGGTGAGGGCACTCCCAGTAAAGGTTTGTTATATTTCTTCTGTTTTCTTTATATAATAACAATATTATGAACTTAAAGTAATATGAGGAGCATTAGAAAAGGTAATTTTATTGAGGAAATAATATCATAAATAGATTTAAAAAGATATAAAAACAATAGTCAACAGCAGAACCAAAAAAAAAACACGTAAGGGAGAAGAGTTGATAAAATAAAATGATTAGAACAAAGTCCTTTTAAATAACAAGTCAATTAAATGAAATATGTAAAGAAAGACAAATGTTTCCTAACTTTGGAAGAATATGAGATAGAAGAATAACATTGAGAAGGTAACATAAAAAATTAATTGTATATAAACATTAAACAAATATATGTACATATTAGAAAAAATTGCAACAAATGTTAATAACATTAATGATGGTCTAACAGTTTGAGAAATGTCTCTGAAGATAGGCAAAGATCCCAAAACGTAGTACTGATAAATAAATAACATATAGGGAAGAGAAAATATTTCATACAATTATACCTAAAATACCATTGAACTCAACTCTTCCTTAAGTAAATAATTGAGTATCAAATAATATAATGTAAATTTAATACAAAATAGACCAGAGAAAATATTTGTAGGTTTTTCATTAGCTGTCAACAGTGTTGGGCATTTACTCGAGTAAACGTCCAGCAGTGACGTCATGAGTGATCACTCTTGGAGGCTTAGCCATGAGTAATTTTGAAAATTATTCATGAAATATTTTTCCTCCATGAGTAAATCACTCATGAAAAATGTTATCTCCATGAGTAAATTACTCATGAAGCATTTTAACGCCATGAGTAATTTTGAAAAAAAAAAATGTTTTTATTTTATTTAATCTAATTTTTTTTAACTTTTCGGATTAAATCGATATCAGGGTCGACTCCTATGTTTTGGGGGGCGCTTTTTTGAAAATGATATCGAATTTGAGATTGCCCCCCCCCCTCCGGGCCCCGACTTTTTATAATTTTTTGGATTAAATCGATATCAGGGTCGACTCCTATGATTTGGGAGGCGCTTTTTATGAAAATGATATCGGATTTGAGATTGGGACCCAGGACCCCGACTTTTTTTAACTTTTCGGATTAAATCGTTATCAGGGTCGACTATAAAGATGTGGGAGGCGCTTTTTATGAAAATGATATCGGATTTGAGATTGGGCCCCCCGGGCCTCGACTTTTTTTAACTGTTCAGATTAAATCGTTAATCAGGGTCGACTATTGTGATTTGGGAGGCGCTTTTTATGAAAATGATATCCAATTTGAGATTGGGACCCCCGAGCCTCGAATTTTTTTAATTTTTCGGATTAAATCATTATCAGGATCGACTATTATGATTTGTGAGGCGCTTTTTATGAAAATGATATCGGATTTGAGATTGGGACCCCCGAGCCTCGAATTTTTTTAATTTTTCGGATTAAATCGATATCATGGTCGACTTATATGTTTTGGGGGGCGCTTTTTATGAAAATGATATCTGATATGAGATTGGGCCCCCGGTCCCCGACTTTTTTTAACCTTTCGGATTAAATCTATATCAGGGTCGACTCATATGTTTTGGGGGAAGCTCCAAAAGGCTCAATCTCAAATTGGATATCATTTTCATAAAAAGTGCCCCGAAACCATATAAGTCTACCCTGATATAGATTTAATCCGAAAGGTTAAAAAAAGTCGGAGCCCGGGGTCCAAATCTCAAATCCGATACCATTTTCATAAAAAGCGCCCCCAAAACATATAAGTCTACCCTGATATAGATTTAATCCGAAAGGTTAAAAAAAGACGGGGCCCAATCTCAAATCCGATATCATTTTCATAAAAAGCACCCCCCAAAACATATAAGTCGACCATGATATCGATTTAATCCGAAAAATTAAAAAAATTCGAGGCTCGGGGGTCCCAATCTCAAATCCGATATCATTTTCATAAAAAGCGCCCCCAAAACATATAAGTCTACCCTGATATGTTTTGGGGGGCGCTTTTTATGAAAATGATATCTGATATGAGATTGGGCCCCCGGGCCCCGACTTTTTTTAACCTTTCGGATTAAATCTATATCAGGGTAGACTTATATGTTTTGGGGTCGCTTTTTATGAAAATGATATCGGATTTGAGATTGGGACCCCCGAGCCTCGAATTTTTTTAATTTTTCGGATTAAATCGATATCATGGTCGACTTATATGTTTTGGGGGGTGCTTTTTATGAAAATGATATCGGATTTGAGATTGGGCCCCCGGGCCCCGACTTTTTTTAACCTTTCGGATTAAATCTATATCAGGGTAGACTTATATGTTTTGGGGGCGCTTTTTGTGAAAATGATATCGGATTTGAGATTGGGACCCCCGAGCCTCGAATTTTTTTAATTTTTCGGATTAAATCGATATCATGGTCGACTTATATGTTTTGGGGGGTGCTTTTTATGAAAATGATATCGGATTTGAGATTGGGCCCCCGGGGCCCCGACTTTTTTTAACCTTTCGGATTAAATCTATATCAGGGTAGACTTATATGTTTTGGGGGCGCTTTTTATGAAAATGGTATCGGATTTGAGATTTGGCCCCCAGGTTCCGACTTTTTTTAACCTTTCGGATTAAATCTATATCAGGGTAGACTTATATGGTTTGGGGGCGCTTTTTATGAAAATGATATCCAATTTGAGATTGAGCCTTTTGGAGCTTCCCCCAAAACATATGAGTCGACCCTGATATAGATTTAATCCGAAAGGTTAAAAAAAGTCGGGGCCCGGGGGCCCAATCTCATATCAGATATCATTTTCATAAAAAGCGCCCCCCAAAACATATAAGTCGACCATGATATCGATTTAATCCGAAAAATTGAAAAAAATTCGAGGCTCGGGGGTCCCAATCTCAAATCCGATATCATTTTCATAAAAAGCGCCTCCCAAATCATAATAGTCGACCCTGATTAACGATTTAATTTGAACAGTTAAAAAAGTCGAGGTCCGGGGGGCCCAATCTCAAATCCGATATCATTTTCATAAAAAGCGCCTCTCACATCTTTATAGTCGACCCTGATAACGATTTAATCCGAAAAGTTAAAAAAAGTCGGGGTCCTGGGGCCCAATCTCAAATCCGATATCATTTTCATAAAAAGCGCCTCCCAAATCATAATAGTCGACCCTGATAACGATTTAATCCGATAAGTTAAAAAAAATTAGATTAAATAAAATAAAAACATTTTTTTTTTTCAAAATTACTCATGGCGTTAAAATGCTTCATGAGTAATTTACTCATGGAGATAACATTTTTCACGAGTGATTTACTCATGGAGGAAAAATATTTCATGAGTAATTTTCAAAATTACTCATGGCTAAGCTTCCAAGAGTGATCACTCGTGACGTCACTGCTGGACGTTTACTCGAGTAAATGCCCAACACTGTTGACAGCTAATGAAAAACCTACAAATATTTTCTCTGGTCTATTTTGTATTAAATTTACATTATATTATTTGATACTCAATTATTTACTTAAGGAAGAGTTGAGTTCAATGGTATTTTAGGTATAATTGTATGAAATATTTTCTCTTCCCTATATGTTATTTATTTACCAGTGCTACGTTTTGGGCTCTTTACCTATCTTCAGAGACATTTCTCACACTGTTAGACCATCATTAATGTTATTAACATTTGTTGCAATTTTTTCTAATATGTACATATATTTATTTAATGTGTATATACAATTAATTTTTTATGTTACCTTCTCAATGTTATTCTTTTATCTCATATTCTTCCAAAGTTAGGAAACATTTGTCTTTCTTTACATATTTCATTTAATTGACTTGTTATTTAAAAGGACTTTGTTCTAATCATTTTATTCTATCAACTCTTCTCCCTTACGTGTTTTTTTTTTTTTTTGGTTCTGTTGTTGACTATTGTTTTTATACCTTTTTAAATCTATTTATGATATGAGCATAGTGGTTATTTAAATTGTTTTTATCAGTTTTATAGTTTATTGCTTTTCTATATTTTTGGTGATATGGATGTCTCTTCTGTTTTTCTATTTTTTGTGTGTTGTACTATGTTTATAATTTTTGTATTACTGAAATCAAAACTATGGTTTTTTAATACACTATGTTATGACAGGGCAGTTGCATTTATGTTTTTTACACTTTTACATTTATTTTTATGTTGTTTGATCCTAGTCTTTAATTTTTTTTAGGTTTCTGCTATCTATAGTTTTGCAATTTTTACATTCTTTTTCATAAATGGTATTTTGTTGGTCTATTTTTTTCTTAACATTTGATAAATGGTTTTCTTATTGTTATTATATATTCCTAGTTTTATTTTGTGATTAGTGCTTTTTTAATCTTACTTATCAAATTTGGGATATATTGTATATTATGATACTTATTTAATTGTATTTTGTATCTCTCTTTATGAAAATCTGTTATGACTGTTTCATTTTGTTTTTCTATCATTTCTTTAGTATTTTTATAATGAGTATTATTACTTATTTCGGTGTGTGAAATTTCTGTATTGTTTGATTGATTAGTTTTCATTTGTTCACATTTATCTGTACTGTACCATATTTTATTTATAAGTTTTTAGATTAGAATAGAATAGAAAATAATTTTATTCTTGGACAAAGTTCCTTTAGAATAAAAAAAAGTACAAAATTAAAATATTATGTCTGGCCTAAATAAAAACAAAAGTAAAAATAAAGAGAAATAAGTAAAGAAAATATTAGTTAAACATACTATATACAAAATAAAACAAAAATCTTTTTTTATTTTTATCAAAATTAAATTTGATTAAGGCAGGTTGTGTGGAGTAGCTGGGACGGAAACCAGATTGGAGAGGATCAAGTTGGTTGGACTTTTCAAGGAAACTGGAAACTTGGGATTACACCAATCTTTCTAGGGGTTTTGAGAGATTGGAAAGAATTGAGATTGGGCCAAAATCTTCGGGAGAGGATGGATTAGGCTTTTTATTTAAAGGGGGGACAATGGTTTTTTTCCAAGAGGTGGAGAATATTGAGTTCTGTAGGGAGAAATTGTAGATGATATTTTTCATATGTCCATCGTCAGTTAATGTATTTACTATATTTATGACATTTTTACAGATTTTTTTTTATTTTTATGGAATGGTTTGAATTATAGTGTAGTATAATATTTCTGGTAATCAGCTTTTTTGTCCATTTGGTTGTTATTTTTTCCTTGTTGGTACCTATTGTTATATCTGTTTGAATCTGATATTGTTTTCCATTGGCTTTTCTATTGTAAATTCTATTTTTTTATGTTGTTTATTAAATATGTAATATGTCATTTTGGGTGTCCACATTGTCTGGGAAAAATAGAATCCTATGAAAAGAATCTATATATAGCAAATCTGGATATGAAATATCTATTTACTAATGTACCCATTGAAGAAATCAAGAAACTAATAAACTCAGACTGGTACCAAATAAAAGATTACTCACCAATAAAAGATAATGGACCTGTTTAGGAGTGATTAAATATATGTTAGAAAAATAATTTTTTTATTTCTTTAGAATCATTCAGAAAGATAGAAATGTGGGCTAAGGAGCCTCAGAGATACTGTAATATCTCTTATATTTTAAACAGTAATATAGTAATACAGTAATATATTTTAATTAGTAATTTAACCTCGGAAGATCACTTTATACTGTTGGGATTCTTCCTAAATAAATAAGAGGTTTTTAAATAATGAACAAAATTACAAGGGTATTAATATATTAAATTGAAATTTATAATTATTTATCTCAGGCATGGGTTACTGACAATCAGGTCAAAAGACTCAGACAGACTAACATTAACTGCACTAAACACTGTTTGATTTTAAAATGAAGTCAAGTATGAATTGGCAAGCTAAATTTTTTTCTGTAAACATCGTTTTTTTCCTTTGTGGCACTGAATTTATTTTTCTTCAAATACTTTCCAATGTTCTTCACTTTCATCTACTCAACTCAAACTTACTGGGACATCCTCTCTCTTTTAGTTCCAAACAACTAGTTTCCCTGCCAAGCAATAACTTCCAGTATGGTAATCTATTACTGGGTTTTACCCACTGGAGCCAAGCAGGATCCCTTCATCCATCCTCTCTTCACCCCAGCCAAAAACCAACTGCTTGCCAAAATAAAATCCTTTGTACCCTCCACTCTTTGAGATTTTCCTTCTTTGGAAAACTACAGAGCAGCTGTTTTCTTTTCCCTGAACTAGTAGAACTAGATTAGCTTGCCTGTTACTGTTCAACAATAATTTATTAAAGCATTTTTACCAACTTCCAATTAAGGTGTATATTACAATACATAAACTAAAATACAAATTAATTAAATAGTCATAATAAAACAAAATTATAAGTTGCTTTCTAACTTTAATCAGTTAATTATAAGAAATAAAAAATTGAAAAACATGAAGTAAAAATAATTAAGAACGATTTAATAATTTATATACATATTTATAGTAATATCTATTTACAATTTTATGGGGACTGGATGGATTAGAAATTATTGAACAGGTGGGATTTAAATGTAGGAAGAGTATTGGATTGATGGATGTAGGAAGGGATGGGGTTCCCCATAGGGATGATGATCGGATAATGAAAGATCTGTCGAAAACACCAGTTCAGTGGACCCTTGTGTATAAATCAGAAGACTGGGAACAAACAGAGGATTTGAATTGAAGAAGCTTGGAGATGTATGAAGGACGGCGGAAGGATGCTAGGAAATACTTATGATGATAGGAAGGATAAGGCCATTTCAACTCTGCATACAAACGAGACACAGAGGGAAAAAGAGGAATCCCGATGATGAATCATATATAGCAATTTAGCAAACGTTTTAGTTTTGCCTCGAGATCTCCAGAGACGCCTCTATATACCATACAGTAATAGTCAAAGTGGGGAAATATTAAGGAAGTCTTGTCTTGTAAGGACAAGAAGTCTTGTAGGAGCAGAGTTGGAATATTAGGGACAGTTTTTAGGAGTTGATTTGAGCCTATTTAGATTGCCTTCATCTTTTCTGCATTCAATTTCAACTTGTTAGCTCTCGCTCAGTCATTAATCCCATCCAAGTCTTTTTGAAGTTTTTTTGTGGTTGATAAATGGTGGGTCGAATATAAAAAATAGGTCGAAGGGTGGGAAGGACAGGTATATTTTGAAACCATCTGCATAGATGTGGTATTGGGAGTGATGGATCAGGAGGGAAGGTCAAAAATGTAAACAGCAAAATAGAATAGGAGATAGAGAGGAACCTTGAGGGACCCCACAGGAGAGAGAAGGGCCTTAGATGGAGGTTGACCTGGGAGGACTACATACTGGGACCGATTTGAAAGGAAGGATTTGAACACAGGGCACTGTTGGATAGAGAAAGCTTGTGCAATTTAGTAAGTAGGATGTTATGGACAACAGTGTCGATTTGGAAAAATCTAGAAGGATGAGGATAGTAATGTTTTGGTGTTCAATGGAGTTTTTGAGGTCATAGGCTATTTTAAGTAGAGTGGATTGCATTGTATTAACATAGTGTATTAAAAAACCATAGTTTCGATTTCATTAATACAAAAATTATAAACATAGTACAACACGCAAAAATAGAAAAACGGAAGAGACAATCTTCATCACCTAAAATATAGAAAAAACACTAAACTATAAAACTGATACAAAATTTTAAATAACCACTATAGTCATATCATAAAAAAATAAAAAATATATAAAAACAATAGTCAAGAGCAGAACCAAACAAACACATATAATTGAGAGGGGTTAATAGAATATAAGGATTAGAACCTAGTCCTCTTAAATAACCAACGACCAACGACTTAAATAACCAATCTACAATGAAAATTGACCAAGTGATGTATAAAATTAATTAAATGGAATATGTAAAGAAAGACAATTATTTTCTAACATGCGTTGGGAGAATATGAGATAGAAAAATAAAAACGTTGAGGAGGCAAAATAAAAAATGAATTGTATACAGACATTAAACAAATGTATGTGCATATTAGAAAAAAATTTAACAAATGTTAATAACGTTAATGATGCTCTAATAGTTCTAAGAAATGTCTCTGAAGATGAGCAAAGAGCCTAAAACATAGGACAGATAAATAAATAACATACAGGGAAGATAAAAAATTTCATATAATTAAACCTAAATTTACATTGTAGAAATAAAAGGATAGGTGGCTGTCTCAAGGCTGTGTGGTTGGATTTTTCATTATAACCTTGCATTTATGTTAATACTTCTATTTTTCAGGATTTTCCATTCCTCAGGTACCACAGACAGCATGATAGAAGTCTCCTATTAGAAAACGGAGAATTGGCTGCTGTTTGCTTGGACTGCTACGAGTCTCTAAGAGCTCAAAGTCTGGAATATGAAAGGTATTTGGGATCAATTTCATATTTAGTACTCTGTCGATAGGTTGATTTACTTATTTTATGTTTGGGCCTTTTCAGCAAGTTTTTAAAATCCTTATAAACATTATTAAGATAAAGATTTATTTGTTTCATATTGAATACTTAATAGTTGGCCATTGTATTTTAGAGGAAGATAGTCCGGGGTGGCGGTCATAAATGGACTAAAATAGTGGCAAAACTATTTTATTAAAATCCAACATTTCAACCCAACTTTGCAGGTCTTCTTCAGGGCTAAAATGGACAAGATACAAAAAATAGAAAATTGTGGAAGTACCACAACATTTAAAAAAAAAAAAGAAAAAGAAAATTATAAACAATGTGTATAAGCTTATCAAAATTATAAACAGTAAATACATTAAAATATAAACAGAGTAAATTAAGTAACAAGATCATAAACTGAAGTAAATAAATGGTACCAATTGTTGTAGTATAATTTATAATATAATATATGCAATTATGAATATACTCCTACAGATCTCAAGGAGAGATTGGAAGAGAAGGATAAATAATATGAAATAATGGATGTAATAGGATGCATAGAAAGAAAAGAAAAACGAAAAAAATAAATATATACAATAAAAAAAATAATAAAAAATTAAAATCGAGACTTACAGGTGTGTTCTGCAAGGAGTTTTAGTTACAACTGGAGAAACTTTGGTAGAGAACCCTTGCAGAAATTTGCTGACCTGGGTTAGGGACTGGTGAGCGGGAGCGGGTGGGGTAAGTAGTAAAAGTAAAACAGAACTTGGAATATTATAGTATCTAAAATTTAAAGATATTGATGGATACAAAAAAAAAAATCCGATATCTATGAACTAATAAATTATAAATATATACATATACATATAAAATAGAATTGAGGGTTTTGAGATGGTTTTTGGTTTCGCCAATATAGGAACTATTACAATTCGGAGTAGAGCAAGGTATCCCGTAAACTACATTAGATTGGTATTGTAAAAGTATGGGATCTTTCAAGTTGGTATAAAGGAAGGAAAGTTTGTTATGGGACTTGAGGTCAAGATGTAAGTTGGTTATGGTCAATTTTAGGAATTTTTGTATAATATCTGAAAGAAAAGGAATATATGAGAGAGATTTGTATATGAAAGGAGTGGTAGGTGATTGTGAGGAGTTGAGAGATGGGGAGGTTGTACTGTTCTTGGTTGTATAGCTGTTTAATTTTTCCAATAATTTTCCTCTCAACACTATACTTAAACTTTTAAACAGCTATACAACCAAAAACAGTCTAACCTCCCCTTCTCTCAACTCCTCACCATCACCTACTACTCCTTTCATATACAAATGTCTCTTTTATATTCCTCTTCTTTCACATAATATACAAAAATTCCTAAAATCGACCATAACCAACTTAAGTCTTGGCCTCAAGTCCCATAACAAACTTTCCTTCCTTTTCACCAACTTGAAAGATCCCATACTTTTACAACACCGATCTAATGTAGTTTACAGGATACCTTGCTCTACTCCTAATTGTAATAGTTCCTATATTGGCGAAAAAAAACATCTCAAAACCTGTATTTCCCAATGTAAAACATCCATAACTTCCCGGAACCCTTCCGTCTCCAAACTATTAGAACATGCCTTAACCATCAACCTTTCATTTGATTTTGAAAAAAACTTCTATTCTTGCCACGGTCCCCAACCATGAAAAAAGACTCATTTCCGAATCCATCCACATTTACATTGAACAAAATCCTGTTAATCATAAAGTAGATAAAAACTGCATTTCTTTAACATATAGGCTTATTTTAAATCTTATAAGTGGAAAATAATTTCTTTATTACATCTTCGATTATTCCTGTTTATTCATTTTTTATCTATTTTCAATTTTTATTGATTAATTTATTTTAATCATTCATTTTTTTTAAAGTGTCTCTGCTTTGTAGGATCTCTCTTTTATTTTTAATTTTTAATTTAAATTCTACATCAATGTACAATCATCCAGTTTTACTTTGTATTCATTTTACCTTTAACCATTATGTCTCAATATTATCTAATATTTAAATGTAATTTTCTTACAATATGTTCATTAATTATTATTATAATTATTCATTTGTGTTTCTTCTAAACTAGTTCTGCAATGTATGGTCTTCTCCTATTTTTATATTTTCATTTTACTTCTATGTACGTTTTACTTCTTTCATTTTTGTTTTTATTTACATTGTACTTCTATATATAATTTCTTAATTCTATTTTATGTGTATATGTATATATTTATAATTTATTAGTTCATAGATATCGTATTTTTCTTGTATCCATCAATATTTTTAAATTTTAGATACTGTAATATTCCAAGTTCTGTTTTACTTTTATTACTTACCCCCTCACCACTCCCCAAGGGTTCTATACCAAAGTTTCCCCAGTTGAGACTAAAACTCCTTGCTGAACACACCTATAAGTCTCAAATTTTATTTTTTATTATTTTTATTGTATTTATTTATTTTATTTTTTGGTTTTTCTTTTCTTTCTTTGCATCCCTTTACATCCATTATTTCATATTATTTATCCTTCTCTTCCAATCTCTCCTTGAGATCTGTAGGAGTATATTCATAATTGCATATATTATATTATAAATTATACTACAACAATTGGTACCATTTACTTACTTCAGTTCTAAGTATCTTGTTACTTAATTTACTCTGTTTATATAGTTTAATTTTCTTAATATCTCAATGTACTTACTGTTTAATATTTCCATAAGTTTATTCACCCTGTTAATAATTTTTATCTAAATATTATGTAACTTCCACAATGTTCTATGTCTTTTTGTATCTTGTCCATTCTAGCCCTGAAGGAGACCTGCAAAGTCAGGTCGAAACTTTGGCTTAAAACAAAATAGTTTTGCCACTATTTTAGTCCATTTATGACCGCCACCCTGGACCATCTCCTTCCTCATTTATTTGTTTCAAATATTTGTTAGAAATTTACCTATTTGACTAGTAATAATATTTAGTGATAAGATAAATATTTAATCTTAAAAATAAATAGGATTTAATTTATTGCTAAAAAAATAGATTTATTAATACAATTATAAAGCAATAAACATAATATTCAAATATATACAAAATTAGTTATATAGAAAACAATGAATTAACAATGCTTTTCTGAGAAAATAGTTTTACAACTTATTGCTATATTTAAAAAGTAACTCTAAAAGCATATGTTCAATTAAACACCTTACTCTTACTTTAACCTCTTAATATTTCTTCTTACATCTCACTTCATTTATTAATTTTGAAACTTTTCTTTAATACAAACGCTACACTTCTAATTTGGTCCAGTTTATTTCTATTTAATTTATTAACATTTGGCACATTTATTAAACAACTTTCTTGAAACTCATATTCTCTTCTATTCTTAGCTATTCTCATCTTATTTCTTTCAAAACTTTTTTCTGAGTTTCTAAAGGTTTTCCTCTATCCCATTCCAAATAATATTCTTGTTTCAATAGGAAAAGTACAATTTTGGAGATAACTTTGTCGGGCTCTTTACTGTATTATTATATTCATTCGAACGCTTCAGCATTTTTTCCAGAAAATGTTCTTGGTCTCTTCATTTAATTGATAGAGAATTCTGTTTTTTCAGAATGTTTTAATTTTTTAATTTAAATGTTTGTTTAATCCAGTAGTTTTGAGATTGTCCCTTGACATACAGTGGCCAAAAAAGGTATTCGTACACCATATTTTAAGAAACATGACTAAGGTCAAAAGTCTTTTTATTTATGTTTTCAACATGAAGCAAATATAAATAACAATTATAAATTTAGTTTTGCATTAATTATAAAATTTTATAACTCATATTGTATAAAAAATATCAAAATATTCAAATATGAACCACCAAAAAAAAAAAAAATTCAACATTCAACTGACCCAAAGAAAATATAATAAATACCAGTCTCAATTAATTCTAGTATTTTGTAGGGTACCCTACCGCGGGTATCACAGCATTGAGTTTTCTTGGCATTGATTCCACTAGCCTCTTGGCTAAATATAGATGGTCGGCTCCTCTGGTCCAATTTCTTCCCAAGCTTTCTTAAGGTTGTTTATTAAGTCATTTTGAAAGGAACAAGAAATTTTCGGATTTTCAATTCTAGCAGTACCCATAAATTTTCAATTGGATTAAGATTCGGTGATTGTTGAAGTGATTTGAGCATTTCGCAAACATTATATAGCAGCCATTCTTTTGTTCTATTGGTCGTGTGCTTGTAATTGTTGTCCTGTTAAAAGATTTATGTGTCATGCATTCCTAACTTTTGCATATTTTTAGTTAAATTGCATCGCAACACATGTTTTTAACCTCTAAACATATTTTTTTCCATCAGATCCAAATATATTATACTTGCTTCATCGAAAACAACACATTTCGCCAAAACGTTTAGGATTTATTTAGATGTTCTGAGGCAAACTCCAGTCTTTTTTTTTCTGTTTATAAAAAGTTTTTTTCTTACCGCTCTACCCCTATAACCAGTTAAAGATTTCGGAAAGGCTGACGCGATGTGAACCGAAATCTCTCGAGCATTTAATTTGGAATTTTTAAGACCTTAGTGATATTAAAGACCACTTAATTATACAATGATACACCGAGTTTAATCAAAATCGTTAGAGCCGTTTTTGAGAAAATTGTAAAAATGTGTTACAGCGTTGATATAAAGTGGTAAACTTCCGGTTAGCCGATTTTAAGGAAAAGGTTGCAGCGACATTTAAGGTATATACCTGTCTTAAATATGTAATATCAGTTTCGTAGGACTTTTCGCTTTCGAGCTAGAGTGTTCACAGACACACAGACTATCTTTCAGGACAGGGTACCCCTAAACGTGTTCTGTTGAAAACTCAGATTCAAAAATTTTCTCGATCGCAATACTTACCCTTACTATATATTGCATATATACGTAAGTGAAAGTAAAAAATGTAGTGAATCATTTTGGTCAAAAAACGGGGTGTGCGAATACTTTATTTGCCCACTTTATAAACTAGTTGGATTGTTTTGTTTTTTAAATACTGTTTAAATTTTGTTGAATGTTATGCTGTATATTGGTCGTCCAACAACATTTTCATTCCATATTCTTTTGTTAGGTTTAATTAATTCAATATAAAGATGTGTATTTAGTTTTTTGTAAGTTAAAATCCATACCTATCTACATTATAATAAGTTATAAAGATATAGGAAATATAATAAGATGATTTATTTTTAAGATGGGGCCTGCCTCCAGAGAAAAGGCAGTATAATTGGATTCCACAGCCACCACCTCCTGAAGATAGCCCTGAAGCCTGGCGTAGTAGAGCAAGAGAGGCTGCAGTCAAAGAAATGCAGAGAAATTCTAAGAAACCCAACCAAATAGTTCAGGTCAATCAGGCTGTTAAACCCTCTAGAGTTCACAGTCAAACAACACCCTCTAACAAATTGGAAATAGGTAACTTTAAATATTAATTAAATATTTTAATTTGATCCATCCTCTCTCCTTCTTCCTCTCCTTCCATGCTAGAAACATAAATTATTGATTATTATGTTCTTGGTTTTCTGATCTGCTTAATGCGTATCTGTTTTTGTATTTAACATTTAAATCAAATGTATACAAAAAATGTAAATTAAGTTAATGAAATGTGAATTAAAGATGTTTCCTCCAATTCAAAGGACCAGGACCAAGAAAACCTGCCAATCCACATCCTTCAGCACCGTATTCATCACCTTAGACCTACTGATAAATATTTGTTGTTGAAATTGTGAAATCTGTCCAAATGCAGAAGAGGATTCTATTTGTTAAATAGGACTTCTCTTTGTAATTTTGTATTTGAATCTCAGTAGTCTGTTTATAAACAGTTACCTCCTTTCCCTCCAAACCTCTTCTCCCCCACCTCCCCTTCAAAATGTTAAAGTGAATAAATATTTTTTCACTGACTTGTATCTTACAGATTATTGAAAATATAAAGACAAGTATATTATAAAAAATTGAAAATTATTATAGCTTAAAATTTTTAATAGTGGGTAAATGGTTGACTGTCGTGAATAATGAAGAGATGAATAATGATCAGTGAAATAAGAAGGCAAAAATAAATGATAATATTTATTTTGACATTTGCCGACGTTTCGACCTGAAGTTCATCAGGGCTGACTCCAAAGGTGTAAATCGAAGCAATTAATTAATAATTAATCATTAATTAATCCATTGCTCTGATTACACCTTTGGAGTCAGCCCTGATGAAGGCCTAAACTTCAGGTCGAAACGTCGGAAAATGTCAAAATAAATATTATCATTTATTTTTGTCTTCTTATTTGACTGATCACCCCAACTATTCTTCTCTTCATTAAAATTTTTAAGTTTGGAAGCTTTGCCAAATTTTGAAAAGCTGTAGTTCGAAATCTAAATAGGTTTCTCAAAGCAATTTTGGTCTTCAGTTGTAGTAAATTTAATCTAGTTTAAAAATGTATAGAATGTTTTTGTCTATAATATGCCCTTTTATGGTCAAGATGGGGAAAAAAAGTGTGAACATTAAACAGTTTTTGGAATATTCAAAAATGATCTGGGGGGCTTCCAACTTTGAAAACTTAGGTTTTGCATCTCAGTCATATCCCATAATAGGAAAAAAAATCGATATATGGGCCGACTATTAGGTTTTGGAGCACTTTTTATGAAAAAAATGTTAGATTTTAGATAGTGCCCCTGGGCATCGACTTTTTCTAACTTTTCTGATTTAATCGTTATATGGATCGATTTCTTAGGTTTTAGGGGGCACTTTTATTGAAAATAATGATAATGAATTTTAGATAGTGCCCCCGGGTACCGACTTTTTGTAACTTTACGGGTTTAACCGATAAACGGGTCAACTATTAGGTTTTGGGGTGCGTTTTTTATGAAAAAAATGTCGAATTTGAAAAATTGCCCCCGGGCACCCACTTTTTGTAATTTTTGAGATTTAATCAATATCAGGGTCTACTATTATGCTTTGGAGGGCGCTTTCTATGAAAATACTGTTGGACTTGGGATTGTGGCCCTGTGTATTGACTTTTTAAAATAATTAATATCAGAGTCATCTATTATGTTTTAGGAGGTGCATTTTATGAAAATACAGCCGGATTTTAGTTTGCGCAACCGAGCATCATTTTTTTGTAACATTGCTAATGAAATCCATATTGGGATCGATTATTATATTTTCTTGGGTGATTTTTATGAAAATGCCGTTGAATTTAAGATCAGAAATGGGCATATAAGTACTATGAGTAAAAATTACAAATGTCCAGGTTGACTACCTTAAATCCGACAGTATATTTTCATAAAAAAAGCTGCCCAAAACCTAATTATGGCAAAATAACTCTCATGAGTTTCAATAAGGAACATTCTAAATTTGATGGCAACATTCTAATTTTTAAGCAGTGGACTGTATCTTAAGGGATTCGAAGGTTAATGATTGTGCAAAAAAATAGCTTACTGTCTATATGCCAGCCTACATCTTTTTTACCTTGGAGGGCCCTACACCATTTTCCTTGCTGGGTGAATGCTGGTCAAGAAGTGGCTTTGAGACAAACTATCGCTCTCAAAGCTTAAATGTTATCTTTTATCTTTTAGATCTGCCCCCACCACTCGCCATAATGCGGGAAATTTAAACTTCCCTTATCTTCCCTGGCACAACCAACCCTGATATGGATTAAATCCGAAAAGTTACAAAAAGTCGGTGCCCGGGGGCACTACCTCAAATCCACATTATTTTCGTTAAAAGCGCCCCAAAACCTAATAGTTGACCCTGATATCGATCAAATCTGAAAAGTTACAAAAAGTCGGTGCCCAGGGTCACTATCTCAAGTCGGAAATGATTTTCATATAAAGCACTCCCCAAAACATAATAATCCACCCTGATATCGATCAAATCCGAAAAGTTTCAAAAAGTTGGTGCCCAGGGGCTCTATCTCAAATCCGACATTATTTTCATAAAAAACGCCCCCCAAAACCTAATAGTTGAGCCATATATCGATTAAATGAGAAAAGTTACAAAAAGTCGGTGCCTGGGGACACTATCTCAAACCCAACAGTATTTTTATAAATATTATCCCCGAATAGTCGACTGTAAGATCAATTAAATCCAAAAAGTTAGCTATTAGCTTTTAGTTGAAGTTGTAGATAAAGCTAATTTAGCTGTTACCTATAAGAAAAGGTAATAATTAACTTAAGCTAAAAGTTAGCTTCTTGGTCCCGCTAAAAGCTAATTAATTTGCAGAATTATCTGCCCGCTAAAAGCTAATTAATTTAGCTGTTAGCTGTTAGCTATAGATAATTTTTGCCCAACTCTGACCGGGATATATGGGATGAATCTGTATTCGCGAATCAAGGGTGAGAGCAGTTTGTGGGAGATTGATGAGGGTTTGGTTTTGACTGATTTTTAATCAGGTCGATTATGTTTATGTGTTCAGGAAAGTCTTTTGATTTCAGGATCTTGTGTAGTTTAATTAGGTTGTTGTCATGAAATTTTGAGTCAGATAGTGTTAAAAAGCGGAATACATGTTAACTTGAATATTGTATTTATCCATGGCATTGTATCCCATTAGCAATAATGTTACCCGAACCCACTGACTTTATTGTCCCTAAGTCTGTCATCTTAAAAGCACATCTTGGAAATCATCCCTTGACCCTCCCACTTACTACCTACCATGTACCTAGGTGCCAGTACTTGAACATCTTCAGTGCTGGTAACATGGTTAGTAATATTAAATATTACATTTTTTATAAGTTGATCATGCATATTATTTTATAGTTAATTATAACTTATTATTATATGGATGGAATAACTTATTATGTATTCCATTTGTTTATCTTATGTATCATTTATCACTATTTATCCTTACTAACTACTATCTGTTGTTATAAAAAAAAATTTCAGCCCTGATAATAACCCACATGCTTGGGTTGAAACAATAAATGTTGGCAACAATAAAAATCTTATAATGACTGCGTCCTGACTATTTATCACCTATGATATGTAAAACAGTCGACTAACTTCCTTCAATAATTATTTGTTTTTGTTAAGCATATACTTAGTTTATATATTTTTATCTCATTGAGTTCACAACTTGAAATGGCCAAATCAAATAATAATATAACCAATTTTAACTGGGTAATGAGTCTATGACTCTTCTATGTTAGTAATCAGTTTGATATCTTGTATTTTAGGGACTAAAGCAAAATCCGTTTCAAGTTCTGGAGAGAGGAGATCTTCAACAACTAACAGGCAGCCAGCTAATCAACAAAACCAGCAGGAAGGACGGAGTTTTGCTGCCTTCTTGAGAAATTTAGCTAATAAACAGTCTGCAAATGGTGTGGTTTTGTATTTATATTATTAAATTTCTTAATTAAATAAGTTTTATTTCTATTTTTATTTTTTAAATAGAAAGTGATGAAGCTGGTAGAAACTCACCAAAAAGTAGATGTCTTTCAAATGTACCCAGGGCTCCTTCTCCAACTAATAACAAAATTCATGACAAAGTAAGTTCTCAATATCATGTGTTTTTACTATCAAATGTTTAAACTTCAATTACTAATAATATAGCATTGATTTTTTTAATAGAACATAAGTTGAGAAATTTACTGTATAAGATTCTTAATTTTTTTTTAAAGTACAATGATTTTAGCATCATATTTCTGGATTCAAACTAAATACTTAACACTTGGTCAGAATGGTCCTTCGTATCAGTCTTTCCCCATGGTCAGATGTTTCTTTTGGAAAGGACACTCTGCTCCTTATACCTTCCTATTCCAGAGGCTATTACATGGTGGTGATAGACTTTTTATGCTCCCATCTGTGACATTTGCCTTCAATACCCTTCTAGCTTTAAAAGGATATATTTTTTTCTTAAATCGGCCCTCCAGAAGTTGTTTTGTTAATTTTTACAATATGAAATATATCAATATAAAGTTGTTTAAAGAAATATGCACTCGGCTGCCAAGTATTCTCAGAAAATGAAGCCAGTATCAACAATTTTAAATAATGATAATATATTTATACACAAAAGTTTTCGACTAGCAATAATTGTACCTTCATTGGTTACGATATTGCCTCTGCACAAGGTTGATGAAATTATTCCTGAAATGATATATTATGTGGGTAGCAAAGGTCAAGAGATGTTCCTTTATCTTCTGAATCTTATTTGGAAATAAAACAGAATTCCTAAGGAATGGAAAGTTGCAGGGTTTGTGCCCATCATAGGGAAGGGAGACAATCGAGATAGCAATCGCCATGTAATATCACTTTTCAGTGTGCCTAGTAAGGTTTATTCCAGAATACTTAAGGTAAGAGTGAAAAGAATAGTTGATAGTCAGCTTGGAGAAGAGCGGTTTGGTTTCAGAGGACTACGAAGCATGCAAGACCTCATTTTCCCATTGCAACAAATAACTGAGAAAATTGTGGAGGACACTAAAAAACTTTCTGTTTGCTTTGTGGAACTACAAAAGAGTGAGAAAGGAAGACATAGAGTAACTGAAAAAGGCATTGATCAAGGGACAACTCTGGCTGTGATGAGCCTATATAACAAGACCAGAAATGTGATTAGGACTACATCACAAGAATTTGAGGCTACATTGGGTATTCGCCAAAGCTTTAGTTTAAGTCTGCTACTATTCATATCAGTGGTCAATTGATATCCCATGATATGAAGGTGCAGTGGTTAAGATGGGCGGGCATGTAGCTTGTCCATCTGGAAGTCTCTACGTAACAATGAATGCCTCAATAGAATGCAAAAGACCATGTGGAAGGCCAAAAAGCAGATGGATAGATAGAATGAAAGAAGATGCAATAGAGCTGTGTGCAGATAACGGGAAAGAAATAATCGAAGATAGGCAGAGATGGAACAGGCTTGTTAACATGACAAAAGATCTACAAGATCTGTAATGCCAAAAGAAAAAAAAAACTATTCATATCAGTCTTTGACCTGGCACTAAGGAAAACCAAACTAAGAATTAAGTAGTTCCTATTAGGATGCAGAAACCTACAACCCACAAGATTCTCCGTTCGCTGATGAACTTGTTTTGCTAATTGCCAATGACTCCAAGAGGAAATAACCACATTAAATATGAGAATAAACCCAGAAAAAAACAAATTGCATGCAGATAAGATAGAAACCCTGGAGAATAATGAGAGTGTTGACAGCAAATGGAGGAAGATTGGAGCAGGTAGATAATTTACAATATCTAGGTGCTCATCTCAATGAAAGCTATTACATCAATGAGGAAGTGACTGGGAGTATTGGAATAGCTGGAAAAGTATTTTGTTCATGTGTGAGAACTTTTCTGTGAAAAAGAGAGGTCGTCAAGAAGACAAAAATGTCTGTCTATAAATTGATATTCCTTCCTATCCTTTCGTACTCTTTTGAATTGTGGACCCTCACCTCGAAACACAAAGGCCAAATCCCATCCATCAAAATGAGCTAAATTCATGAAGTGGAAGAAATGATACAAAGAGATAGAATCTGGAATACTACCATGAGAAGTAGCCTCGAATTTAAACCGGCCTCTTAAATTGGGAGGTTTGGACATCTTCTTTGGATGGATCAAGAAGGAACCAGCAGGAAGACACATGAGACCTATGTGAAGGGAAGGAGACCTAAAGGGAGACAGTGCATCCCCTGGGAGTACAGTGGCCGAGAGGCATACAGGATGCGGAGTAAGGAAAAGAATGTTGGTCACAGAGGGAGAGACACCTGATCCAGACTCAATAAACAGCAACCTCACTCATCATAGTGGTACTGAAAGGAGATTAAATATTATGATGATATATATGGGGGCCGAGTTAGCCGTACAGGCTAAGGCACTTGCAATAGGTAATCAAAGTTAAACAACCTGGAGCGTGGTTAGTAATTGGATGGGTGACTATCCACCAGAGAAAGCTATGCTGCCCAGGAATTCCCTCTCCCTCCCCCCCCCCTCCCGGGTATGTGAGACCCGTCAGCCTATTTGAGACAACTCACACAGACCGGGTGTAGGACTGATGACCTTACCCTGTGTACTTAATTCGGGAATCGGGATGTGGTTTACCAGGATGTTAATAGCCCCCCTGAGGTTCGGTCCATGGACGGTCTGTTTGGGGGAAAGGAATATAGGTCCTCGTGCGCCTGCTGACTGAGCAACTATAATCCATGGATCTAGACCAATTTGTCACTGTCCTTGAACCCGAGAAAGTCGGTGAGAAGGACATTGCCAAATTGCCCCCAAAGGGATCGGCTATGGAGCTACGGGTGGCCTGCCGCTGCACCATGGAAACCATGGTTCGTAGCAACATGAGGTTGGGTGACCCCCTTCAGGCTATCTGAGCTCCCGCAAGTATCACACGTCTGTAAGGAGACCACATCACGCGGCCAAAGATCTTCATGGTCTGTAGTGCCAACGGAAAAAAAAACAAAAAAAACACTGGAGTTAACAGTAAAATTCTAATACTTTATATTGTCGAGGGTCTGAAGATTATATGTGAATTATCGAGATGTCCAATGATCTGGAAAAAAAATAAAATGTTTCTAGGCCTATATCAACTGATCTTTTCTCCCAACTTCTACGAATAATAAACTTTGTTGAACACTTAAGCTTTCCTCTAAAAGATTTTTAAATTTTGTGTCCTGCTTTTTTATTTTTTATAAGATAATACCCACTATCATTGGCTCTTTAATCCCCAATTTTTTACAAAATCTTTTGATTTTTTTTAATGAATATATTTCTGTTTAAAAGCTATTGAAAACAGCAAGGTAAAGGAATTTAAATGAAATCTTCCTCCTAAAGTTAATATTGATTATATTAAATGTATACTAATTATGTACAGTTAAATACTTATTCTTATTTTGCACTAATTATTATGAGTAATGTGATTATGTTTACCAGTCAATGAAAGGTGCCTAAAACGGCTGAAAATGCTCTTTCTGATTTTTATTATAAAAATATTCATTATTATTATTTTATTTGAAATAGATTTTTCAAATATAAAATGGCATTTAATGGATGGAATTTATATTGATTAACAATAAATTGATCCACAAATGTCTATTGTATTATAAGAGGAAATTAGTTTTGTGTATTTATGTTAGTTTATTTTCTATGTATACTATTGATTGATTTCAGGAGGCAAGTTTGAGAAGTGGTTTCCAACCTTATAGACCACATGACACCAGAGTTCCCACCCTTGCTATACCTCCAATTGATTACGGCTACCCTCACCATATGTATCCTCAACATATACATCCATCATACAGGTAAATAATATATGATCTAAGACTGATCTAAGCAGTTAGGGCTGGATTTTGATTAGACAAAATCCTTAAAATGTAGTATATGATATACTGTACAAAAACCTAAGAATATGTACCAAAGCATTTTTAATTATATAGCAATACCTTAACATTTGTGAGTGTTATGTCCTTGAAAAAATTTAAAAATCATAAATTCATGAATGATGAGTCTTTCTGTGTAAAAAGGAGGGTTTACATTCTGGCAAACAAAGACAAAAACATATTTTTTTAAATTAGAGTATGTATATATATAATTTTCTTTAAAATAATATTTGTCAATTTTATTTAATTTTTGTTTGTAGTTTCTAAAAAATAATGTGTTATCCGTGATAATTTAGACGAGTATGTTTGTCTATTTTGATGTTCAACAAATGGGCTCTTCACGGCCTTAATTTTCCTCTTAGGTTACAGGCTCTTGATCCATTGTTCTTATAGGACCGTTGTGTTAAATATAGTGATATAGCTTAGAATTATATTTTGAGGTTACTGTTACATGGTGGATAAAAACAAATGTGTGTTTGTGTACGTGTGAGTGAGTGCGTGCATGCGTGCGTTGGTTGTGTGTGTGTTTGTGATTGAACATCTAATCGAAAGTGCCACTAAATATCATCAATTTAACACATTTTTACAATTTTCTTGAAAATAACTTTAACAATTAAATTCTGTATATTAATGTATAATTAAATAAATTTGAAAAAAAATTATATGTCAATAACAGCACTGGTCGTTATATTGGAATCAAACAAGCGTAATGAATAAAATTTAAGCGAAATGGACTTAAAACCCGCAATACTCGTTGCTGTCCTTCAGATTTATACATAAAGGCCCATCAAACTGCTGCTTTCGACACATCGTTCATTATCCAATCCTCATTCCTATGAAACTCCATCCCTTCCTATATCCATCTCTCCAATTCCCTCCCTGCCTTTAAATCCCGCCTGTTCAATCATCTGTTATCCATCCAGTCCCCATGTAAATAGATATTATTGTAAATATGTATATAAATTATTAGATCGTTCTTCATTATTTTTTCAATTTTTTAATTTTTTATTAATAACCGATTAAAGTTAGAAAGTAACTTATAATTTGTTTTTATTATGACTATTTATTTACTTTGTGTGTTTGTTTATGTATCTCTGAGCCTCCTTAGCCCACATTTCTGTATTATTCTAATCATATAAACAAAAAGTTAAAAATTATAAACGGACTCCTCCCAGAATAAATAAAGAATTATTATTATTCTTCTTAAAATAGTGCTTTTTTTTAATATATATTTATGGACATAATTATTTGTTTTATAAAGTAATGAATTTCTTAATGCGAATTCTGTCTACAGATTAACGTCCATTAGAACCTTTTTCGATCTTAAAATGTAGTGTCCAGTGGAACATTAACTTCTTTCAATATTGCGTTTCACCATGTTGAATATGTCAGCATCATGATAATTCTCACAAATTGTCGGCTAAACTCAATTTCAATCCTTTTCTCTTCAAGATTCCAGTTCTCCACCCAATCTGCTATGTTGAAACTCACCCAAGACCTTCAATTCTCTGTATATCCTACTCTATATCCTAGTCCTCTTTGATTTTTCAAAAGCATTTGATTCCGTTAATCATAAAATCCTCCCCAAACTCCAACACCTTTCCATATCAAATAGCGTCCTAAAGTGGCTCCACTCCTTTTTGTATCACAGGTCCTAAATAGTTATCATTCCTGATAAAATCCCTTCCTCCTCCCTCATACTAACTCGTGGTTTTCTTCAGGGATCTTCGCTCTGTCCAACTCTTTTCTCCATCTACAGCAATGACCTTCCTGATTCCATCCATCATTCACAATACAACCTTTATGTTTTCTTTTCATCCCAGTGAGATATAGATAAGTCTTTAAACAATTTGAACAAAATTGCAAATCTATCCGAGACAGCATGTTGAATGGGGTGAATCTTTTAAATCCAAAAAAGACGATCTACCAACTGCCGCTATCAGAGTTAAGGCAGATTTCACTCGAAATGATAAAGGAATATTTAAAATCAATTCGCAATCACAATGGATACAAAGATTCTGTTCCCGACACAATATGGTTTTAAAAAAAATTAGCTGTGTAGCTGCCAGCGTTCTTATTCAGTTATCCAAGGAGTGGAATTGAGTTTAGCCGACAATTTGTGAGAATTATCATGATGCTGACATCTTCAACACGGTGAAACGCAATATTGAAAGAAGTTAATGTTCCACTGGACAATACATTTTAAGATCGAAAAAGGTTCTAATGGACGTTAATCTGTAGACAGAATTCGCATTAAGAAATTCATTACTTTATAAAACAAATTATTATGTCCATAAATGTATATTCAAAAAAAGCACTATTTTAATAATGATAATAATAATATGTAACGTTCCTCTTTCCCTCCAAAATTAAACAACAAGTTTCTTTTTCAATATACTATTTATTTTAACTTATAACATAAATTCTCAGGTTGGGTTCTGACAACTGAACACTCATTCAACATTAAATAACTATAATTTACTAACTACACTAATTATACATATAAAATTTATAATTGTTTTCAAAAACATTGACTGTCCCAGTCTAAACTTTGTGGCTCTATCTCTCTGTCAACATAAATGACATTGTTAGCACTCACCCAAATGTTTACGCCTGTCAGTGAAATAATCTCCTCTTACTTACGAATGTTCCGTTTTCTGTACCACTTAATTAATTTCTGCTATGTTCTTTCTTTCAACACAAAATAATCTCCACTAGTGGCCTCTATCAACACTCGAACCGGCTAGTACTCCTTTTTCACCTTCTCGACTTGCTGGTTGGCCACGTGCCCTTACATGAGGCTTGCTTTCCCCATCATCTGCACGCTCTTCCTCCCCGTAGTTCGTGCTGTTACCACTTTTGCGCCAATATTAAAATACCATGTAACGTTGACATTACAAATAATACTTTATTTATTGTGGGAGGAGTCTCTTTGTAATTTATAATTTTTTATTTTTATGATTAGAATAATACATAAATGTGGGCTAAGGAGGCTCAGAGATACATAAACAAACACACAAAGTAAATAAATAGTCATAATAAAAAAAAATTATAAGTTATTTTCTAACTTTAATCAGTTATTAATAAAAAATTAAAAAATTGAAAAAATAATAAAGAACGATCTAATAATTTATATACATATTTACAATAATATCTATTTACATGGGGACTGGAACAGATGATTGAACAGGCGGGATTTAAAGGTAGGGAGGGAATTGGAGCGACGGATGTAGGAAGGGATGGAGTTCCATAGGGATGAGGATTGGATAATGAACGATGTATCAAAAGCAGCGATTTGATGGGCCTTTATATATAAATCTGTAGAACAGCAACGAGTAATGCAGTAGGACAGGAAAGATGACAGAGATACATAGTTTGATTAATTTCACAGGAATTAGATCGGGACCATAGTCATTCGTTTTAGATTTGAAGACAGAAGATAGTAGGTCCTGTGGTGATATATTTGTAAAATAGAATTTTGTAGGTTCCAAAGAAGTTTTTCGAAGACAGTATGAAGGAGAGAATGGCATAGAAATAGGATCGACAAAGTAGGAATTTAGTTGATCAGGAGAGACAGGGTAGGAAGTAAAGATTTTGGACTTTACTACGGAGAAATTTTTGAGGATTTTTCATTTGGATTTGTGATTTGGAAATATGGAAGAATTTTGCCTCAGCACATCATAAGGAAGATTGGGTAAGGTTTAGGAGTCTTGTGCATTAGTGTCTTGAAAAAGATGTAATTTTCTGGATTATGTGTGCATCTGAAGCGCCTTCTAGCAGCTTCTCTCTTCTCTTCATCAACTCTCCGATTTCAGGATTAATCTAGGAAGCAGCAGGGCATCTGAAGGTAGTGGATTTTTAGGGGTGCATTTTTATTTAGGAATAGGAGTAGATTGGAGGAAAGACATTCCACCATTTCATCAATGGAGGAATAGGAGTAGATGGGATCTCAGGATTGGGCTAGTGGTTCTAGGGAAGGGTTTGTTTTTCAGAGGTCAATGAGCCCATGTGATTTGTTTAGGATTGAACTTAGGAGTTGGGACATTATAGGTAATCTTTATGAGATCATGATATGAGAGAAAGGAGACCGGATTCTGAGAGGAAGATAATAAATTTGAGAAGAATCAATTATAAAAAGGTTCGAGCCATGTACTCGAGAACTTAATATGGTGAGTGGGTTGAAAGGCTCTTATGACAACTAACACTAACAGTGGAGCAAAATTTATAAGAAATTGTATGTAAAATGACTTTATGGTTGGGAAGTTGGTTGAAGATTGCAGTCATAGAAAACAAACAAATAAAATAACAGGTTTTATGTGTGTATTCTCTCTAACTGCAACACAACCATACTCCTTTCATTGTAGATTTAATTTAACATATAATATTTTAACTTCATAATTAAAAATATGTGAAAATAAAATTGATATATTCAAACTGGTATCATCCCGTTTGCAATTATATTGGACAGATAGAGTGTAAAAGGATGGTGAGAAAACTGATGTACAACTCTAAGCCTTTTCCAAGAAATTTTATGGGAAACACACCCTTTTATTCTCACATATATGTATGTTTTGTGTTTAATACTTTCAAGAATTTACTTGTAAATTAAACTTTACTTTAGTAAACAAACAGTAAAATTGAATTATATATATTTTTATAATAATAATATTCAATCACTCGAAGTATAGACTAGTTTCAATTGTATCTAATTCACTGATTTGGAAAAGATATGTGGATTTTCACAACAATTCAATCTCTGGTTTCATTTTAAAGACAGCTTTTTTGCCTCTAAATATTTTATGATCCATTACTTTTCTAGGAACAACCATTTTTCAATTGCCTGAATTAGTTGTTTGTTTACTATGTTAAAATATATTTGTTAATAATAAGGCATTTTTCTAGGATTGAAGACTATTATCCAGAGAGATGCGGAATTATATATACACCACATACATACATTTATCCTCATCCTATGATGCCACCACCTCTTTTGATGTCACCATATGACAGGTATTTATATTTTTAATTTCAGTCTTCAAAACTTTACCAGCCTTTTTTCAAACAGATAAAAAATAAAATAAATGTTTTTTATAACTCATAATCCACAAGCATATATTGATGAGAAATAATTGCCTTTGAGGAGTACATGCCTCTTAATTGATGTGATGATGTATTACTAACACATAACAGTAAAATATACCTTGATTGTAAATTAGTGGACGTCAACTATCGTCTTCTCTTCCATGCTAGTACTATAGAAAAGCCAGTTCTGGGCCAGGGCTTCAAAGCAATATGACAGTGCCCATTCTCTGCTCAAAATTCCTGCCTTTAAACAGTGTTTAGTTCACTTTAATTCATTCAAATTTTGTAGCCTTTAAACACTGCTTTCTTTACTTTAATTTATTCAAAAGTTGTAGCCATTAAACACTGTTTTGTTTACTTTAAATCTTTCAAAAATTGTAGCCTTTGAACATTGTTTTATTGCCTTTAAAGAATGTCCGGTATATTATTAATCTACAGACCAACCAGTCAGCTTGCTTGAAGACTAATACTGCATGTTATTTGTTATATTTATAGAATTTTCAATGGATTTGGACATAATGGGAGTATTTTTCTTTAAAAATGTTTGAAGACCATTGTAGGTTTGTTTGAATAAGAAATTTAATCTATAAATGAAGTATCTGTGTATATTTTACTAATTATGTGCATCTTTCTTTGTTCAGCTTACAGCTTTAAGCCCTCTCACCACATCAAGGTGAAAATGCTTTGGTTTACAGGTGTTTATTGCCTCGCCAGTTATCACAACAATCATACTTTAGTTAACGGGCGTTTATAGCCTCGCCTGGGATTTCCATTCACACTTCTAACTTTACTTACTATCTAGGATATATACTTTTTTTCTGTATTTTTATTTATTTGTTTTGTATTTTTATTTATTAAATTTTTTTCACAAAAACATCATAGACTAAAAATATTTGTAAATTTGCTTTTTAAGTAATTTTTTATTGCTTTAAAAATTGTCTAGAATTCTTTAATTTTAATTATAATAAAAGTAGGCCAAAGTATTGACCCCATCTTCTTGTATATGTCTTTTATCATCAAATAGAGAAAGAGAAACTTTATTAATCTCAGAGCTAAAAATATTATGCTGCTTCGACTGTATTAATCTCATGGGTGTATGCATAATTTTATTTTTCAGTAATACTTGTTTGTTATCTTTAAAACTAATATATTGTTTTAACGAGAACACTTTTACACACTTGACCCACTTTTTTACATCATTTTCTGTCATAATCACATACAATTTTGCTCTTAATCCCACATATTTTAAAATTAGCTTGGAATTTAATTCATCCTTAAATTTTCCCAACTTTTTTTATTTTCTTCCGAAAAACAGAGATGAGTTCTAGAATAATCTCAGAAATCAAAATACTGATTCATTTTGTTCATATATTTAAAGATATCTGTTAAAACTATAAATAAATGAATCATTTTTAAGGTATTACTGGCATATTTTTTTAACATTGTCATAATGAAATTGGTACATAACAGTTTTAGATAAATCTAAAATGCTCATATCAATATACAAGTTGGGACCCAAAAGTAACGGGAATTGGCGGTGGGGAAACCCATTGTTCGACGCAGTGTGCGTTTGGGACACGTCTCCTGAGTTAGTGTGCAAAGTTGTGTCACTGTTAGTGCATCGATTCCCCATGAGTATTTTTTTAGTGAAGCAAAATTGTCCATTTTGCCGAAAACATGATGGCGGATGTCGAGAGCAACACATGGCAGTGAAATTTTGTTTTGAGGTCGTATCCATAGCACCACGATTCATTACCAGTCATGACCTTAGAAAAAAATTCAGGGTCCTCTCGGGGCTGATTTTGAAGCTAATAACATGCCTGAAGTCGAAGCTCCCTTTGCTCGCTTGTGGGATGGCGAGGGACGAATTTGGTTGCATCTCTTTTCATGTGCAAATATTATCCTCTGGATTGAACTCCATGATATTCTAGGCATCTCACAGAGTTGGTCATTGGTTCGGTGACGGGCGTCCTGCACGGGGCTGGTCTTCAATTGACATTTCTCCATTTTTAAAACTTAAAAACTACTTGTATACTCTGGTTTTACTTAGGGCAGCATCCCCATAAGCAGTTTTAAGCATTACAATAGATACCGCGATTGATTTCCCCAAAAGGAAACAAAATTTCACAGCCGCATGTTGCTCTCGACAATCAGCCATTATGTTTTTGCGAAATGGAAAAAGTTGTTTCACTTAAAAAAAATTCTCACGGGGGAAACTATGCACTCACAGCGACACAACTTTGCACACTAGCTCAGGAGACGTGCCCCTAATGGACACCTAGCTCAGAAGACGTGTCCCTAATGGACAATGGGTCAGTCCCTCCCTCCTCGTATATAGTTTGTTAAATATTACTAGATTTTCCCACATGTGCTGCTGCTATATTCTCATTGTAGATTGTGCGATCTATAAAATTTGGTTTAGTAATGAGTTTCATCAACTTTTTACTGTCAGGTACTAGTTGAATATTCATGTATTTATTATTTGCTTCTGCATACCGGTGCAATACCTGACACAACCCTCCACCAATTCCATGCTCTCTCATTAAAATCATGTCATAATGCTATAATAGCTCTATGTTTATTTTTGTATATTTTAACATTGCATCCCACGTTAAACCGGGAACGGTAAAATAATGAGCTGGATCAAGTTTATATATCTTCGTCATAAGATTCGGAAAAGATTCGAAGATGTTACAAAGTAGAAGAACATCAGTTTTAACGTAAACATCTGCAGTCTCCTAAGGATTGACATTTCAAGTGTTTCCATATGTTTCGAGCACGTGTATAATCTTTAACACTAATATCAGTATCGCATAATTTATTGTAAAAAGCTTCAATGGGTGGAAGCTCTGTTTCATTAACTTTTCTGCATCATCTATATAATCATATGGGAACACACCTTTTCTCATAACAAATGCTAATTTGTCATCTCTGTAGTATTTTGAAGTTTCCTTGAATTCATCCATAGATAGAGATTGTATAAGGTAATCCATGAAGTATGGCATGAATCTATAAGAATCTATGAATCTAAATTTTATTTTACCATCATGTATGTTTTGTTATTTTTTTTTAGTTATTTGGTATTATTTTAACTACTCCTGTAATATTTCCCAATTCCTAACTATTGGTTTGTCTGGAAAATAATGCTGGATTTTGAGTTTTCTTTTAAATACACATCTATATAACAAACTGATTACGTTGACTAGATTATTCATTTGAATGAATGTCAAAACTTATTAATCCTCTTCCAAACGATAATGTTTGTTTACCTCTGTAGCATTTCGCTGCTTAGATATAATTCAGCCTTCACTAAGATGTTAATGCGTGATTTTCATATAATTTTGTTTTCCGAGTTTAATGGAACCCAGACGGCCAAAATCACCAATCAAGTCTGGGTTCAACGGTGGTTCAAACAATTTCAGGAGGAAGACTTAAGACTATAAGAAAAGTCGTTAAGTGCACAATAGAATTATCTTTAAAGGAAGGAGATGGTCAGGGGTGAAGGTCATAAATAGGCTAAATAGTAGAAAACTATTTTATTAAAAGCCAACATTTCGACCCGACTTTGCAATTCTTCTTGAGGGAGGTGTGTTCAGCTAGGATTTTTACTTAGAACTAAGTTCTAAGTGGTTTAATACTTTTAAGTAAGTTGATGTATGTAAATATCTCAACTTAAAAGTATTAAAATGACATCTCCATGCACAATATTACTAGAAAGAACTCATCCTCTTATAGAAGAATCCTCTTATAGAAGAGTGGGATCCACATAATCGAAAAGGGCCATGGCTAATGGTCACGTGACTAAAGATGACCGAAACCCGGTGGTCATAGTTGGGTAGGAGTAAAAAGGGGTGTGTGGATTTTTTTTTTTTTTTTGGCGACATGAGTGCACTGCGGGCATGTAGGCCTATTGTATGCCTTATTTAAAGTCACTTAGTTTAGAGTGCGATTCCTGCAGCCCAATGAACTGTAATAAGCTTGTTGGGTTGATAAGCTTGTTTGTCTTGGGATCCTTCTCCCTGTCAATGCTGAATAAACGAAATCTCAAAGCCTGCATACCTATCGCACCAGCAAGTGATATGATATGCGATTCATCCTCCCGGCCACAGTACCTACAAAGAGATGACTCCGTGAGCCGGAGTTTGAACATATGATAATTCAGTTTACAGTGACCTGTGTATGCTGCTGTAATTTTCTTAAGTGAGCTCCTGCTCAGATTTTTAGTAAGTTAGTTCTTTTTTGACAGATTCCTTCCAGAAACAGTCTAGAGTGGGTCTGTTGTTTCAAGCTTCAGTTCTTTTTATTTTCAGCACCATATATCTCCCCGATTCTGTTTGTTGTCAGACAATGACTAATACCACAGATGGGTTCAGGAGCTATGGGTGTCATTTTTGAGCCTTGTCGAGCTAGTTCATCGGCCATCTCATTAACATGAATTCCAGAGTGGCCCGGAACCCATTCAATGTTTACCTTATTAAGTCTAGAGAAGTCAATAAGAATTTTAACACAATCCCCAAATGCCTTAGATCTAGTTGTATAGTTGCCTAGTGCTCGTATGGCCGCTTGACTGTCAGTATATATTGCGATTCTCCTCTCAACTAAACCGTCAAGCAACATTTTTGCAACACAGTGAGTTATCGCCAGTATTTCAGATTGAAACACTGTTGCATAATTTCCAAGTGGTATTGACATGCCAGCCTCTGGTTCCTTCCATTCCTGATTCCAAAAACCAGCTCCAGATCCACATGTCATGACTGACCCATCAGTATAACAGTTAATCCTATTAATGGGTTTGTGTTTACCTGAGCTGTCTATTTTTACATTAAACATCTTTGTGAGAAATTCTTGGGTTTGAGTGCCAGAATGCATTATAAGCAGCCTGTCCGTCCAGGGTGTTTATCTTTTAGCATAAGTTTAATTTCTGTAGC